GGCTCTAAAGTTAAGTTGTGGCGAAATATTTTTCATGTAAATTAACGGTTAATATGTGATGTAAATAGTTTTTATATCGATATCAAAGAAAAATATATATGAAAAATATTATATTTATAAATTTTTTGTTTATAAATTTTTACAAACTACACTAAATATGATCGATCATACTTTAATCAAGAGTGTATGATTAATTATATTTAGTGTAATTTGTAAAAAAAAATTTATAAACAGATCATTTTCTTATATATATATATATATATATATATATGGGGCAGGATATTCTTACACCGGTGTAAGAGTTAGAAGTCTTACACTCAATCTTAATCATTGATCCACTTGTATCCAATGGCTCATGTTACTAAAAAATTAGAGCCCTTAGATATAAGTGAGATCAACGGACAAGATTAAGAGTGTAACTTACACTGGTGTAAAATGATCCTGACCCTATATATATATATATATATATTTGTGTGTGTGACCAACTCGAGAATAATAAGAAAAAAAAGATTGGGTACCTGTAATGAAAAATTTAAATGGACAAATGGATCAAATACTGTTTAATTAAAATTCCAATTGGTCGGTACTTTGTCTCTAATCAAACATGCCTCAATCCCTCAAGAAGCAATTTTATATTTATAAACTGATTCAGATGGCTGCTTAATAAAAGAGAATTTAATTCCCGAGTTAATTATTTAATCGAGCAAAATGCAACAACTACTGTAGGTTGCACCGCCTCCTTCGTAACGCGTCAGCACTGGATCCCACCTACAGACGCAGCTTCTCACGTGGGACGACTAACGAGTGTCACGTGCGGAGAAACTCGGGCGTGCCAAAGTGTCGGTGGAGAGTAATGGAGAGTCAGACTTTGAAGTTTGAAGAGAGTATAAGGTAAAAAAAGGTTGTCTGTGCTTTTTGCTTAGATTTTAGTACCGTACTTGATGCATTCGATGCACGCCACGTGTTAGTTCTTTTCATCTGATGTCGTCAGAAATTTTCATTTTTTCTCGTTTTGCCCAATTTTATTCACCATAAAATTCAGTTCTGGTCTCTTGTGTGTATTAATTTAATAATTTTAAATTACATTCTTTTCGTCTATTAATATATATATATATATATATATATATATATATATATATATCTACCCTTTTTATTTTAAAATAAATATTACTTAAGGTTTTCATAAAATTTGAAAAAATAAATAATAGTATTAATTCAAATATATTATTATCATATATAATTGAATTATTTATTTTTAAATATTCAATTTTACCACTTCATTCATATTATTTTTCATTATTTTAGTGGGAATGTCAAAACATATGCATAAAAATAAAAAGACAAGTAACTTCATAATTTCTAATCTAAAAAATAAAAGTTTTAATAATTTATTAAAAATAATGATTTTTATTAACATTAAAAAAATTAAATTTTAATTTTATATCTATATATTTTTATTAAGTAAAATAAAAGAGAATATTATAATTAATATAAAAAGATCATTTACTTAAATGATATTTTGATATTTAATATTTTTTAAATTTCTATGCAAAATTTTAAATAAAAATTATTTTAAAACAAAAAAAAAACCACACCTTTCATAAAAATTTACGGAAAGGTTGATATAATAAGTCATAAAGAGTTTACGGTCCTTAATGATATAATCGTTTTATTGAAAATAAAAATGAGATAATTTGAATTCATATATTAAACCAAACCTTGGTCACTGTAGTTCTAAATAGGAAACTCGTACTGTGTATGTGAGATCAGTCTCCCATCAACGCATTTATATATTATATTCGTTTAAAAAGAAACTAAATTTTGCTATCGAATGCTATAATTTGAGTCCAAGTTTAGTTTCTATTAGACATTGTAACCCTTTGTCCTACATAAATGTACATTTGCAAATTTATAATGAAAATATTATTGGATGTTATGATTGAAGAAATTGTTTTTTTTTTAAAAAAGAAAAGAAAAGAAAGAAGAGCGAGATGGAGAGAGGGGGAGAGGCATAGAGTACTTGTCTATTTGTCCTTAGGGCCCTGCCCTTATAACTTTGGTTTTGAAACCACCAATTGGTGGGTCCTATACATAATATATTAATGGGTTTTATAAGAGTTATGTTGTAGGAAAAGTGATTGTGTTATGTTATAGAGATTCGTTTTGCGTGCCAAAGTTTTTTTTTTTTTTTTTTTTGCTGCGGGCCCCACAAAATGTTGTGTGTGTAGGAAACTTTTTGTGGTCATATTAAATGATAGATGATAAATCCTACATTAATACTTGCCGAAACGTAGAGTCCCTAGTTTCCAAGAAATAAGAAATGTAGATTCTAGTGGTCATACCCAAGGAGGTTCCTTTCCAGTTTCCATTATACAGCCAAAATTTCATGCTCACAATCACCTAAAGCATTGAATTTTTTATTTATTTATTTTTTTTTTTTCGAGAATTCACCTAAAGCATTGATGATGTTCATGTATTGCACTTAACGACAAACCTAGTTCAAAGATAAATTGTATCATAAACAGGACGGAAAAGGGGAAAAGGATCTCTTCCAATTAGCAGTGTAGTTAATAGAATTCAAAAAACAAACAAAATGGTAAAAAAGTTATAAACCACAAAAAATGTCCCATTTCTACTTGACCTCTTTCTTTTAATTTAGTTCATATAATATGAATAAAAAGAAAAGAAAGTTGTCATGGACCTACTCACATTCTAGAAGGTCCAAATAGGAGTAACGGCTAAGAGGAAATTAAGGAAATATTCATTAATTATACTAATTCTATTACGACAGCAATTGATTAACAATTAGACCCCTAATACTCTTAAGAAGTCAAGAAGTCCACTCATGTTAGGTAATCCATCTATAAATAATGGGTTAAACCAATAATGTACACACGCTCAAAATTCTCTCTCTTAACTTGTTCCTGTGCACCCCCCAAAACCCTCTCTCTTAGCTTATTACTGTGCACACACCACACGCCTTGACTATGTCGTTTGTATTATTGTGCACAGTGATCTATTGATCTTTAAGGTACCTTCCCCATAGGTATCTGAGAGGACAAACAAATCTTATATTAACATACCAATCTCTAATTAAACATCTCGATCTATCAGATCATAACAAAAATCAAAACTTATATTTCATTAGTATAATTAATTATATTCACACTTACAAGGTTGTGTAATCTTTTCTAAGTTAGATTTTGTAATAGTTTGATTAAATTATGTTTGAAGATGTCACCTTTGTTTTTATAGTTTAAGGTGAAGAGAGAAAGGAGATTAAGGTCCCTACAGGCGAAAAAAAGTATACAAGAATTTATAACTTACAAATAACATATCAATAAATCATCACAATTAAAATTAAATTCACAATTTTTTTTTGAATGTTAAATTCACAAATTTTGAATCAATATTATTCAGTTTTGCTGATTGAGCGAAGTTATAAAAGGTATTGCTACTTATACATATTATTACCAACCCAATTGTGTAAGTGAAATGAAAACTATTAATGGCGAAAACAATAATTTCCCAACAAAGTTGTTCCTATCTCTCACCCAATGATCCTAACCAAAAGGAAAATTACAAATATATAAAAGATATAATTGCCGGATCCCCCCCCCACAATTATGCCATTTAAGATAAATTTGATGCCATTTAAGATATAATTGAAACTTACTAAAGATAAAAATACGTGACTAGCTAGTATTTAACTGTAAAGGTGTTAATACAGTTAGCTTGTCTCATTCAAATTAGCCTGCAACAAGTTAATCAAATTTGGAACAAGATATCATGCTAAAATTGTTGTAGGTTAGTAAATCATTGACTCAATATTATTCTATGTAAGCCGCAGATTGTGTGGACTAAATTGCTAACTAAAATTTTATATTTTATACTTTATCACCTTATTTATATATTTCATTTTTTTTTTTAAATTTCTGCTCTGATTTATTGACTATTCGACTAATCGAAACTCTTGGTATAAGACAACTGTGTAATTAAGCTGGAACAATATATTCCGATTTTAAATCAATATTTATACGAAGAAAATGTAGAATTAAGCACACGTGTGACTGTGTGAGCAACAAGGTGAGCCTCAAGAGAAATGTGGCGGGATAGAACTTCAGGGTTCAACTGCTGCCTCATAAGAAATAACTGTCATTAACTCGCTACGTGCACCTGTAATTAGCGAACACAATCATTAACATATCCCGCAATTCCTAAAATACCACTACACACACACGTGTCATACCGAAAACCGCAGACTCAGTATCTTTAGCCTAAAGCATGATGCACCAAAACACATGCTCATTCTCAGACACCCAAATTTCCACTTCAAGTTTTTTTAACCATTTGATAAAAGAATGATTTGCCTTTGGCGGCTTTCCTTGTTCTCTTCCCTTTCCGTTTCTAGTTCTATATTTTTTTTTCATTTTATTTAAAAAAAATCTGGTAATAAGAAACATAAATAAAGTAAGGGATTATATTTTCTTATGTAACATAAGATAAGATATCTCATGTTACACTCACAAACTTAGGAGGGTCCCATTGCATAGAAAAAAAAGAAAAAGAATTTGAAGTGGGTCCCACGTCTTTTTGAGTGTGTAGGAGAGACTTATTGTCTCCTATCACATGAGACTAATATTTCCCATAAAGTAATAATTCATGTTGTTTAATTATATGATGTTATTTTATGGACAATTATTAAAAATGATGAATTTTTTAACTAATAATTAAAAGATAAGATATTCTTAATATCAAATGTTCTTATTATCGATCTACTACCATTTTTAGTCTTTAAATTCCATTTTCTAACATAAAATCTCTCTGAAAAATTTTAAAAAAAGAGAAAAAAAAAGTTTGATATATTACTGATATATATATAATTATATTAAATTGATAATAGCAATATTTGATAATATCCTACCTCGATAATTAATATAACATAATATATATCAAAATCAAAGTCACAGGCCGCCAGCATAATTAGCTGGCCACTCGTTTTTATATTCATTTTGATTTTCTCTTTTTTCAACTTTCTCTTTCTTCTTCACCGATTCTTCCAGAGCTGCAAGAGACAGACAGACAGAGAGAGAGAGAGAAAATCAATTCCTCATAATTGGAACGAATTGTTTTCTCTCTTGATTTTGACTTCACATTGATTTACCCGTTCACCTCCTCACAATCACGGCTTCAGATTCTCTTTTGTTCATTTGTTTTTTTGTCTCAGATTACGCGAGAAAATTCTCATCACTCTCTCACATTATCTGCAAAGATCACTGCTTTGAGATTTTGCAGGTTCATCTTCTGTTTTTTTTTTTTTTTCTCCGTTCATCTTAGTCTTTTGCTTCGCAAAGTGAAAACTTTTCCGGCTCCGGTCACTGGCCGGCGATCTTTTTCCCGGTTGCCGTGAAGACTAAGTTTGAAAGGGTTGGAGTTTTTCTTCAGCCAAACGCCATTGATTCTTCTATAAAAGGAAAAAAGAAAGTTGAAGTTTTCAGTTTCTCTCTCTTGGAAACTTAAAAAGCTATTTTTTTTTTTTGGGTTTTTTCTCTGTTTTTGTCTCTCTTTTTCTACGCGTGGCTGTGGGGATTATACTCATGGAATGCCGGGGTCAAAGGTTTCTATAACAAGGCCATTGGGTCGTTGAGATTTCTGTCACAGGATCAAAGTTATCAGAGATCTAAGCCTCTCTTTCTCTCTCTCTCTCTCTGGTTTTGGATTCACACAAGACAGCTTTTTTGTTGCAGAATTGTGAAAGAGAAACATTGAAGATGATGAAGATGAGGAACATGAAAAATGGGGTTTCCGCTATGAATGGAAGCTCAGGTGGTGCGGGAAATGAGCCACGGGCAATGGATTGGGAGATGAGACCAGGAGGAATGCTGGTTCAGCGTCGAACCGCTGACTCGGATCGGAACTCGGTACCGGCACCGACAATTAGAGTTCGGGTTAAATATGGGTTAACCTACCACGAAGTCAACATTAGTTCTCAAGCTACATTTGGTAACCCTACTTTTAATAAAATAAAATAAAATAAATTCTTCTCTTTCTCTCTATGTTATTTTTTTTTTTTTTTCATCTGTTGATTTTTTTTTTTCTTACTGTTGTTTTGTGGTTGGGGGTTGTAGGGGAACTGAAGAAAATGCTGTCTGGGCCAACTGGGTTAGACCACCAAGACCAAAAGCTATTTTATAAAGACAAGGAGAGGGATTCAAAGGCGTTTCTTGACATGGTCGGTGTTAAAGACAAATCCAAGATAGTGCTGATGGAGGACCCTCTTAGTCAAGAGAAGAGGTACTTGGAAATGAGGAAGAATGTAAAGATGGAGAGAGCTGCAAAATCTATCTCAGAAATCAGCTTGGAAGTAGATAGGCTTGCAGGGCAGGTACCCTTTTTTTTCCCCGTACACTTAGATTTTGAATGTATTTACTATTAAATGCTTGAGTAGTTGGGTGCTGATTAGTGATTGGAATTGGTTAGGTGTCTGTTCTTGAATCAATAATTAGTAAAGGTGGAAAAGTTGCGGATACAGATGTGCTTAGTTTGATTGAGCTATTGATGAATCAAATGCTTAAGTTGGATGGTGTTATGGCTGATGGAGATGTTAAACTCCAGAGGAAAATTCAGGTAAATTTTTTACCCATGTGCTGGTGTTAACTTGTTTTGAAATAGCGCCTTAGATTTTGTCTCAAATTCATTTCATTGGTCATACATTCTGGGTTCTGATGATAGTGAATCATTTTGAAGGTTAAGAGAGTTCAAAAGTATGTTGAAACTCTGGATGTGTTGAAAATTAAGAATTCTATGCCAAGTACTAATGGTGGTCATGCCCCAAAGAAAACTCGAGAAAAGCATTCAAATGTGCAAAGACTCGCACCAATTCAAGAGCAACCAAAAAGCATGTCAAATGGGCATCATAGATTATCTCCAATTCAGGAGCAAGACCAACAACAAACAAGGAACTCAACCGGGAATTCTCTAGTATTTCAGAATCAGCCGCAACACCATCAACAGCCCTCAAGGCATTCTGCTTCAGAAGTAGTGGTTACCACAAAATGGGAGACATTTGATTCTCTACCTCCATTAATTCCAGTCACTTCCACATCGACAACCACATCCAGCTCAGGGACCAATAATTCAGTTCATCCCAAGTTCAACTGGGAATTCTTCGACTAAATAACATACCACGTGTTTGTAAGTTGTGTGGATGTGATTTGGGTTTGTCTTCAACTTGGAGTGTTATATCTTATACATTCTTTTCTGTATTTAGATTTGTCTAGCAACCCCTTTTATTAGTCTGTCACTTACTTCACCCGAAATAAACGGGGTTGTTATGATATTAATTATCATAAAACAGGTCATTTTTTTTGTTATGATTTTGGTATTCTCTGAATTCATTTACCATATTTATGGTCTCTCTCTCTATATATATAAAATTGAATTGTCTCGTCTCAAGGAGAGGTGTGTTTGGGAATCCAGAAGTCCATTTTAAATAATTGCTTCAGCTCGCTCATCGATCTCAATCGCTCTGGGTGAAAGAAGGTCAATCATTGTTATAGGCTTGTTCTAATTCTAGGTGCGGCACAGTGTTTCATGATGTATTATTAAATTTTTGGTAACTTGCTTCTTGCGGGGGCTACAAGCTGACAAAAAAGAATGACGTCTATTAAAGTGTTTTCTTTACTGTAATGAAGTACCAGAAAGCTTCTTGCATTATTGCATATGTGTGCAAACTTTTTTATGTTTGAGGTACGCGATAAAATTTGAGGACAGGTGTGTAAATAAATAATGTGAAATTAATTAAGATGAAAAATATATAAAGAGGTGTATTTGTATGTAATATTATTCAATGCAGTAACGAATCCGTCCACTGATAAGAAGACAATTCTGTGGTTAAGAGCGAACAAGACGAAATGATAATTGTGGATTAGTTTTAACTAATTAGGATAGTACTTTTGTAATTTTATGTTGGGTAAGTCTCTCGCTTATTTGATGTATAAGCTTATTCATGTATGATGGACTAATTTAAGGAGGTCATTAAAAATGTATTTAATCTCATTAATAGAGCATAGAACCAATGATGGAGATCAATTTCTGGAGATGATTTTTTCTTTATTGGGAGATTATTCCTCTTTACGGGAAGATTATTTTCTATTTGTTGGGAGATTATTTCTCTTTTTTGAGAGATTACTTTTTTTTTTTTAAGTTGGAATTGATATGATATTATAGAACTAATAGTGAAAGATTATATCCCTAATAATTTATATTTTATTGATTTTCTCATGTTGTGAAAGAGAGAAACAGAGGAAAAAAATAATCCAATTGGATGAGAAACATTCGAGTTCTGGTTTAAATTTGTGTTTTGAACTTATAATTCTTACGTTTCTGACATAGTGAATTTTGACTTCTCAAGAGAATGTAGCTCGGTTTTAGAGAATCATGTTTTTTAGGGAAGAAATAATCAAATATTTTTTCAACAAATAAGAAATAATCTTATGATATTAATTTTTAATGTCCCGAATAGATTTGTTCTCAGCTGTTTTGTAAAAGATCTAAAAATTCGGGATCTTATATATAATTATAAAAGAGGAAGGATATTGTTACTACCAAATTTTTTTACTATCAATTCACTATCTATCTAATCACCATTGGATCAGCATTTTCTCTTTTTTCAAATTTTTTTTATCATTATCTCTCTTTAATTCAATGGTGATTAGATAAGTAGTAAATTAGTAGTAGAAAATTTTGGTAGTAAGAATATCCTCCCTCATTATAAAATACCATACAATAATAAAATCAAATATATAAATATGCCTATCTTGTTAGGCCATCCCAAAATCGAAGTAAAATATAAACTTGATATTAGGCTTTTTCTTTCTATCACCTATCGTTCTTGGCAACCTTTGCGATGGAAGTATAGACAGCACATAGAGTCAAAAATCCCGTGCTGAAGAGGCTAGAGAGGGAATCTAGTTAGAAATCTCATATCAAAATTGTTTATCCAATGAATCCATCCATAATGAAAATAAGGGCTACACCAAAACTTACATTATAGCCCAACTAAGTCCAATCTAATTAGATATCATCAGCCCAATAACACAACATGATCATCAAAATATACTTAATCATATAATTAACTGAATTAAAATATTATTAACCCAAATATTTTAAAATACTAAAATATAATTAATTAATAGAACACACGTATCGAAAACTTCAAACATTTACAACTAGCAACGGATTAAGAAGCCTTCCCTTTGGGCCTCAAGCAAAGGCTTTGGGGCTATGATAGTTATTACCTTCTGCTAATAATGCACATCTTTCATGCAAACACGGCATAAAAATGGACATAATGATTAGGTAGTATTGGATAATACATAATACAATATGTCTCAGCCATCACGCCATATCAATTTTTATTCGAGAAATCGATAGAAATGAACAATAGCTGAAGAAAGAAGAAAGCATATAACTCCGTGAAGAATGGCACAGTTTGCACAATTAAATATATGATTAAACTTGTAGAAAGATACAACAGCTTCATATCCCTCATAACTCCTTACCATTGAGGGCTTTTTTTTTTTTTTCAGGTTTAGTTCTGTGATTGAATGAAATTAGCACATACTAATTTATGCTATAAAGTCCTTCTAATTATAGTTAGGTCAGGGCATAGGACCAACCTTTTTTCAGATTATAACTCAATTATGCAACAGTAGGTTATGGGAAAGAAGAGAAGAGAAGTCTGGAGTTCTAGACTTCTAGGTTACAGACTTACAGGTCTTGCTTCTTATGGAAAAAATATTAAATCAAAATAAGAAGTTAGAAAATGGTACCTGAACACCAACTTGAAAGAGTTGACGGAATATGTGTACATGTATCTTTTAAAGCGGTTGACAGTCTCACAGCGGATGATTATATTTTTATGGGAGATCTTGGCTTTAAAGTTAAAGTTATTTATGTTTAGATTATTTTTTTTTTCTTTTTGATTTCCCAAATATTTCCACTCATTGTTACGGTCAGGTATCGAAAACTTGGACCTCTCTGAACAAGATATGTATGTTTAGGCATAGCATCGGAATTTGTTTTTTTGTTAATGTTTGATTATCTTTTTCATGTTATAAAAATCATCGATTTTGTAAGCACAAAAATAATCTAACTAAAAAAATTGTGCTTTTCTTATAGTTTTTTGTTTTTTGTTTTTAATTTTATAAATTCATCCAAATACATAAAAAGTAGAGCATGAGTGTTTTTTTATCTAAAATATTATCAAGGAAAAATACATTCAAACAAGCATTATAAAGCTTTATTACGTCCTGAGTTCCTGACTAGGTCTCATTGCTCTAGACAAGGTTTGCATATTCAATTGACTCACCCTGTGTTGGGCTCCTTATACTACTGGCCCAGTTGTCAGAGCAAGAAATTTGGAACCCGTGTTGTTATGCTTAAGCATCAGGAATAGGATTGTGCATGTAGGACAATCAAGTAGTACACTAGTCCCTAGCCATGGTCACTTTCTGAAGTCTATAATAAACAAGCAAGACAATAATCATTCTCATATCTATAACTCAAAATGGGTTACGTATTAACCTTATTAGTAAGTCCACCCTGACTTTCACACACAACGTCAGTATACTGTTGTGATTTGTATGGGTTCGAACTTTTTAGGCCTACAGAAAAGCCTTGGGTCAAACTAAACATACTAGATGAGTTTTCATTTGTTGCGATTCTCCTACTTGAGCCCACATTAAAAGGGAAAACATTAGTCAAAGAGGCCTTTCCAATTAACTCATGAAAGTGTCTATCTTGAACCCATTGTCATGCAAAATATCGTTGTATTATGATTGTGCGAGTCCAAAAACTTTTATTGTAGCCTACCATATACTAAAATAAAAGAAATTTTACAAATCACAAAAGAGGGTAAAATTGTATAGAACTACTATTGCTCTGTTTCATTTTTTAATTTATAAGAATCTAACCTATAACTCTAATTTTTTTTTTTAACCATAATCGCCCTTTGTCTATTGAATTATGATAAATGATTAGCATCAAATATTCTTCTTCTTTTTTTAAAAAAAGAAAAGAAAAATGTGCAATTTCTTTTCATCATTTGCTAAAAAAGCAAACACGTACATTTGAGTCTCGATCCAATCCTGCGTGTGATATACATCAACGTTCAAATTGAAATTGAAGTCTGTTCAGAAATATAGTCTCACATTGGTTGTATGAGGCAACTAATGTGAGGTTTATAAGGCCTTGGGCACTCCCATCCTTTGAGCTAGCTTTTGGGGTGGTGTATCCCAAGGTTCTTTACATGGTATCAGAGCGTTTGAAAAATCTCACCGCCTCCCACTTTCTTTGTAGTGGAATTCCACATGTAGGTGGGCTTATATGTTGTCCACCATTCAAGCCCAGTGGGCTCGGGCGTGTTGAGAAATATAGTCTCATATTTGTTGTATGGGCAATTAATGTGAGGTTTATAAGGCTTTGGGCACTCCCACCCTTTGAGCTAGCTTTTGGGGTGATGTATCCCAAGGTTCTTTATATGGTATCAGAGCGTTCGAAATCTCACCGCTCCTACTTTCTTTGTAGTGGAATTTTCACATATAGGTGGACTTGTATGTTGTCCACCCTTCAAGCCCAGTCGCTCCCACTTTCTTTGTAGTGGAATTTTCACATGTAGGTGGACTTGTATGTTGTCCACCCTTCAAGTCCAGGCTCTCGTGTGAGGGACCGTGTTGAGAAATATAGTCCCACATTGATTGTATGGGCAACTAATGTGAGATTTATAAGGCCTTGGGCACTCTCACCATTGGGATACACCACTCCAAAAGCTAGCTCAAAAGGTGGGAGTGCCCAAGGCCTTTTAAACCTCACATTAGTCACATTAGTTGCCCAACGCTCTGATACCATGTTAAGAACCTTGAGATACACCACCCCAAAAGCTAGCTCAAAGGGTGGGAGTGCCCAAAGCCTTATAAACCTCACATTAATTGCCCATACAACTAATGTGGGATTATATTTCTCAACAAAGTTCTTTAATTATTTTAATAAAGAAACTGGGTTGGCTGTATTCTTACATATTCAAGTTGGTGTGTGTTAATTTGATTCCTGGCATATCTCTTTCTTTCCACTTAAGCATATATACTTTTTGCCTCTGATGTTGCCGACATCTACATGTGTAAATGGATTACTCTATGCTTCATAGTCTTCCGACGTTATCAAGAATTAGTTACACGCAGGACTGCTTTAAATCTTTTCAAAGATGAAGATAAAGAGTAGTATATCAGGATTCCCATTACATAAGAATAATAATAATAAAATAAATATAATTAACACATATGTCATAATTCATTTGTCCGTAAGTTTGAAAAAAGTCAACAACAAAAAAAAAACTTTTTGATAAGTTGAGGACATA